CTGGCCAGGACTTCCAATACAGTGTTAAATAGAAGTGGTGATAGAGGGCATCCCTGTCTGGTTCCCATTCATAAGGGGAATGCCTTGAGTCTTTCTCCATTAATAATGTTGTTGGCCGTTGGCTTTGCATATATACCCTTCATTATGTTGAGGAATTTCTGTCTGTTTTATTCTGTCTGAATTTCTTTCTCTGTTTTATTTTTTAGTGGTTGATTTAGAGTTTATACTATTTATCTTTAAACTGTCAAATAATATTACAACATTTCATAAAGTATGAAAACCTTAAAATAGTATATTTATATATCCCTCATCCCAGCTGTGGAGCTATTGTTTTTATACTCTTACTCTTCATATTCTTTCCATCTTCTTTTGATGTTTCCTGCATCGTTAAATATATTGCCCATAGAATCTTTCAGTATTTCAACTCAAGGCTTAAATTTTTTTCTTCATTTCTTTCAGCTTGAGAAATGCCGAGTGTATTCTTCCCTTTTGGTTTTCTGACTCCAGGTCTTTGCATATTTCATTGTAATAATTGACTTTGTCTTCTCGAGCTCCTCTTTGAAATCCTCTCTTCAGCTCTTTTATCTTGTCATTTCTTCCATTTGCTTTAGCTACTCGTTCAAGGGCAAGTTGCAGAATCTCCTCTGTCATCCATTTTGGTCTTTTCTTCCTTTCCTGCCTTTTTAATGACCTCTTGCTTTCTTCATGAATGATGTTTTTGATGTCATCTTACAATTCCTCTGGTTTTCAGTCATTGGTATTGAGTGCATCAAATCTATTCTTTAGATGGTCTTTAAATTCAGGAGGGATATAATCAAGGTCATACTTTGGCTCTCATGAACTTATTTTAATTGTCTTCAACTCCAACTTGAACTTATATATCACCAGTTAATGATCTATTCCACAATCAACTCCTGGCTTTGTTTTGGCTGAAGATGCTGAGCTTCTCCATTGCCCCTTGACATAGATGTAGTCAGTCTCATTCCTTTGTACTCCATCTGGCAAAGTCCATGTGAATAACCGTCATTTGTGTTGTTGAAAAAAGGTATTTGCAATGAATAAGTTGTTGGGCTTGCAAAATTCTATCATGCAATCTCCAGCATTATTTCTATCACCAAGGCCATATTTTCCAACTACTAGTGATTCTTCTTTGTTACTAACTTTTGCATTCCAATCACCAGTGATAATCAATACATCTTTATTGCATGTTTGGTCAGTTTCAGACTCCAGAAGTTGATAAAAATCTTCAATTTCCTCATCTTTGACTTTGGTGGTTGGTGCGTAAATTTGAGTAATAGTAGTATAACTGGTCTTCCTTGTAGGTATATGGATATTATCCTATCTTGATAGGATAGATCTTGAAAGATTATTTGTGATGATGAATGCCACTCCATTTCTCTTCAATTTGTCTTTCCTGGCATAGTAGATCATATGGTTATCTGATTCAGAATAGCCCAAACCAGTCCATTTCAGTTCAGTGATGTCTAGGATACCGATCTTTATGTGTTCCATTTCATTTTTGACAACTCTGTGTTACAACTGTTCAGCCTTTGTAGCATAAAAACAGCCATAGACAATACATAAATGAAAGAGCATAGTTTTGTTCCAATAAAATTTTATTTACAAAAATAGGTAATGGGTCAAATTTGGCCCACAGGCCATAGTTTGCCATAGTTTTCCAACCCCTGGAAGAGATCCAAGTTTCCATCTGGTAATATTTTCTTTCTGCTTGAAGAATTTTAACATTTCTTGTATTGGTGATCTGCTGCTGCTGCTTTCTCTCAGCTTTTGTATATCAGAATAAGCCTTTATTTTGCCTTCATTAAAATTATTTTACTGGATCAAAAACTTAGAGGTTGACATATTTTTTGGTGTATTAAAAATATAACTCTAGCTTTCATTATTTCTGACAAGAAGTCTGTTGCCATTCTTATTGTTTGTATGTAATGTGACATTATTTTCTGTCAGCTTTAAGATTTTTCTTTCTGTCATTGGTTTTCAGCAGTTTTATTATAAGATACTTTGGTGTGGTGCCTGGGCTTCATTGAAAGGAGCTCAGGTGGTGCAGTGTCTAAGGCATTTGACTGCACACCAGAAGGTTGGCAGTTCAAAACCCCCATCCACTCCACAGAAGGAAGACAGGGCAATCTACTTCTGTAAAGATTTTCTTCCTCAGAAACTTAATGGGGGTCCCTGTAAGTCAGAATTGACTTGATGGCAGTAGGTTTGGTTTTTTTGGTGTAGGCTTCATTGAGATTCTTGGGTCTAACTTTGTACTTTTAATTAAATACGAAATTTTTTCCTTTTGATATTACCTATTATTTATATCTTTAAACATTTTAATATTTTTTTCTATTACTTCTCTTATTTTCTTCGTTTTTGACTTCCGTTATACATGATAGGCCACTTGATGTTCCACAGCTCACTGATACTCTGTTCATTTTTTTTCCCCAATCTTTGCTATGTTTCATTTTGAATAGTTTCAATTACTGTTTCTCCAAGTTTACTAATCTTTTTTCTGCAGTATCTAATCTATTGTTTTTCCATCATGTATTCTTCATCTCAGATACTGTAATTTTAATCTGTAGAGTTTTGATTGGGGTCTTTTAAAAATATCTTCCTATTTTCTCTTGTCACACTCATGTTTTCTTCTACCTTTGTGAATATATGGAGTATTCTTATAACAGCTATTTTAATGACCTTTGCATGTGAATCTATTGTGTTTCTGAATTCTACCATCAGTGTCATAGCTGAATCTGTTTCTACTGAGTGATTTTTCTCCTGTGATGTTTTTCTGCTTCTCTGCACTCCTGGTAATTTTGTATCAGATGCCAAACATTGTGAATTTTACATTGTTGGCTAGATTTTTTTTTTCCTTCCTACCTCCCCTCCCCCGCTTTTTTTTCTGGGGCAAAAAAAAAAATAACCCAAACTCACTGCCATCGAGTTGATTGCAACACAAAGCAACCTCCATCAGGTTTCCAAGGCAGTAAGTCTTTACCAAAGTAGATTGCCCAGTCTTCCTTCTGCAGAGTGGCTGGTGGGTTTGCACTGCCAGCCTTCTAGTCAGTAGTCAAATGCCTTGGGCAGTACACCAATTACCTAATACTGGTTTAATTCTTTCAGAGTTTCTTTTAGGTTTCATTAGGCTGATCCCAACAACGTTTAATTTGGGTCTAATTTGGCTCTCTTCAGGGTATTGATGGAACTTGATGCCCCATGGGTTAGGAGGTCTTCACATGGCTGGTGGGAACACTAACTATTTTGTCTCAGTGTGAGCTCCCGTGATTATTCTGCCACTACTTACAGATTGGTTTTTCCCCAGCCTCAGTAATTTCCTCACATACACAAGCAGATGCTTCCTCAGCCTAAAACCTAAGGATCTTTGCAGATCTCCAGCTCACTTGCTTTCTGAAGCTACCTCCTCTTTGGTACTCCTTGCCAACAAATTCTCATCCTCTCTAATTTGCCATTGATAATGTCATCACCTGACAGAAGAGGACTATAAAACACATGTTAATAAAGATCTAGGGAATGGAAGATAAAAGGTAGTATGAGAGCCCCTTGTAAAGATTTATGTATTGTTGTTGTGTTTTGTTTTGCTTTTGCTTTTTCAGTGGAAAGCTCCCCAGGGAGTCTAAAGAATGAAGATTTTTCTAGTAGCCATGCTATGACACTGTTCAAAGACAAAAGTCAAGAAGCCATGGACCAGATCTCTTTGATTTTGTCTCCTGAACACCAGATTTCTCAGAAGCTCTACATTCCTCGGAGTACAGCCACTGCTGCCTTAGGTGCTGCCGCACGGCTAGCCACATCCGGGAGCTTCCTGCACTGGTACCCTAGTATGAAAAGGATGGAAGCATGAGGCGAGGGAGAGAAGAGTAAAGCAGCTGGTTAGGGCTTGGTGATTGCCCAAGCCAAAATAAGGAAATGTTAAGGCAAAATAGTATTTTGATAGTTGATGCTTTGTTTTCTTTTTATGTGACAATATATTAGCTTTATTATGTGAAGAGTCCACTTTGGTGTATAAGTATAGATAGGTAATGTTAATTTTCACGTTTATTGACAATGTTCCTTATGCTGTATCATTTATTCACCTTTGTTGTGTTTTTTTTTTGTGCTTCTGTAAATGTTTTCTTATATATATCATGAATGATAAATGAAAATTTAAAAACTAATTTTTTGTGATCCATACTTAGCAAGACAGATATTTTCACCTCTCTATCTCTAAGACAAAAGATGTCTGAACTTCAGTTTTGCTGCTTCTATCTAATTTGAAATCTTCTATATCATAGAAAGATGTAATTCAGGGCTTCTATCCTCACTGCTATTATTTCTTTTAAATACTATAATCAGTAAGAAAATTCACACCTGGAGCTTTGGTCATATAAACACATATTTTTAAAAAATTAAGCTGTTTTTCAGTAAAAGCAATTTGTTAAAGATTAATGACTAAATTATAGAGACTAGTTGCTGAAGCTGAACCCTCTCTATAGACATGACAGTGCCCAGGAGTCTTAAAATGTAGCAGTAGTTAAACAGTGGTATTGTTTAAGCATTTATCCAACATGATGTTCTCTGAAGTCAAATTGTGTGGCATATTACATGATGTTCTGTGAAATTCATGATGTAAAAAACATCAAGAGAAAAGGAAAGACTGACAGGTGAAATTAAAGAATTTGAGTGATACTAATTTCTTACTGGTAAACTACCAGATTTATCCTCATGTTTTAAAGATAAGGACATTTTTCTCATTCCATTAACCCAGAATCTCTTAGAAGTAAAAGCAGAGAAAGAGAGATGAATTGCTGGCATGTTGAATGCAACTAGGTGCTCACCTTTCTAACTGCTCTTCAGAGGCTTTCTGTTTCAAAGTAAGTGGCAGAGCTGGTCCCCTAGTTCCTCTTTCTCTTTCTATAATAAGGAATTTCTCCTCTTCCTTTCTCACCTATTTATTTAGTAAAATATACACTCAGGAAGGGAGAAAGATGGGACTAAGTATAAATGTCAGTTTTACATTTAAATGTAGAATATTGCTGGCTGAACCTAGTTTCTTAGAATTATGTCCGTCATCGAGAAACAAACCCAACGTCTATAAATACTGATAACAGTCAGTTTAAAAATCTTACAGAAAACATGTTGAATGTGATAAAATCTAAAACTCAATTTACCTTTAAATCCAATATATTTATAAGAATGATGATAGTTTACCCGACAGATAGAACAGGTTCTCATCTGGTTCTTTGTGATTTTATATAAAGCATTTTTATTGGAATAGAAGACAGATGGACAGTTATGCTGGTCAGTGAACACTTAACTATCATTATGAGTTAAAGATTATATCTGATACTCAACATAAGTGTGATATGGGCTAGAGAAGCCTTGTTGTTCATATACGAAAAAAAAAAAACTCAACTGCCATCGAGTCAGATCCAACTCATAGCAATCCCTCCTTGAGTTTCCAAGGCTGTATCACTACGAAAGTAGATTGCCCAGCCTTCCGTCCAAGGAGTGGTTGATGGGTTTGAACCTCCAGCCTTCTGGTTAACAGTCATATGCCTTAGGCACTATGCCACCAGAGCTCCTGTTGTTCATATAGGTCTAGATGATTATTTACTATTTGTTTCTAAAGGAAAAAATCCTTTCTGGAATGATGCCTCTTAGAACTTTTTCTTTTAAAAAGAAGCCAACGGAGCTTTAAGAGATATACCTTACTTCTCCAGATAGACAGTTACTAGATTTGGGGTGAAGTGAATCTGGTAGAAGCAACCTGTTATAATAATGTGGAAGGAATGATAGAAGTACATGTTAAGAAGGTTCAGTTCTATTATAGAACTCAACTACCAGGGGAACACTTAAAAAGCTGGATAGCCTTTTTGTAAGTTTGACAGCTGGCTGTGTAACTTGACAGACTAATTTTATAATTTGTAATTTAAATGGGGGTCATGAAGTAATTATGCTAAGGCTTTCAGAATCCCATCCATTTGCATATGGCCAGATATCAAATCATTCAGAGTCATCCCTAACTGATGAATCTCAACACATTTTGAAAGAAGCTTGTTTACTAATTCACAGTTAACATCTTATTTGAGCTAGTAGAATTAAAAAAAATGAATATTTGAGAGGCTTGTACACTGACTCCTTGGTTTTGACTTAGACAGCCACATTGCAAATTTGTTTGCCCACCTTCTCCCTAAAACATGGACTTTGCTTGCTAGTCAACTAAAGTATTAGCCTAAAGCATCAAATAGCTCATTTGAAAGTACATATATAGGTTTCTACATGTGGGTAGGAACAGCAGTAAGAAGGAAATGTATAAAAGATAAGTAGTTATTCTGTGGTTTGGGGATAAGTTAATAGCTTTTATTATCAAAAGAAAAAGCACTCTCATGGTATAATGGTTAAAAGCATTGGGCTGCTAACCAAAAGGTCCCACTGGGCTGCTAACCAAAAGGTCTCACTCTGTGGGAGATAGATGAGGCAGTCTGTTTCTTTGGAAACCCTATGGTACAATTCTACTCTGTCGTATACAGTTGCTATGAGTTGTATTCAACTCGATGGCAGTGGGCTTGACTGGTTTTTTCTTTTGGTATTACCAAAAGATGGGTTGATGTCTCCTATACTTAGAACAAACAGTCTTCTTCCCTAACATTTTTGGTGTTAAGGAGCTGTTAGCAGTCATTGTAGGTCCCAAAAAAATGCTGGCTGGGAAAATGGACCCTGTAAGAAGGGATGAAGGGATGGGGGTGAGAACAGTGCAGACAATATCCTGCTTATCAATTCTTTGGGGATAGAAGACCGGGCCCATCCACTTCTGAAAGAATTGGCTAAGGAAAACCTTATGAATAGCAATGAAGCATTGTCTTGATATATCACTGGAAAACTTCATGAAGAGCTATGAAACTGTCTAATTAATATAGGGCTGGAAGATGAGCCTCGTGGGTTGGAAGGCAGTCAAAATACGACTGGGGCAGAGCGGCCTCCTCAAAGGACAGTCAACATTAATGATGTTGATAGAGTAAAGCTTTTGGGACCTCCATTTGCTGATGGGGCATGACTCAAAATGGGAAGAAACAGCTGCAAACATTCATTAATGATCAGAACGTGGAAGGTATGGAGGGTGAATCTAGGAAAATTGGAAGCTGTCAAAAATGAAATGGAATGCAGAAAGATCAATATCCTAGTTGTTAGTGAGATGAAATGGACCAGTATTGGCCATTTTGAATCAGATAATTATATGGTCTACTATGCTGGGAATGACAAATTGAAGAGCAATGGTGTCACATTCATTGTCAAAAAGAACATTACAAAATCTACCCTGAAGTACAGTGCTGTCAGTGATAGGATAATATCAGTACACCTACAGGGAAGACCAGTTAATATGAAAAGTACTCAAATTTATGCACTAGCCACCAAAACAAAAGATGAAAAAAATGAAGATTTTTACCAACATCTACATTCTGAAATTGACAAAACATGCAATCAAGATATATTGATTATTGCTGATGATTGGAATGCAAAAGTTAGAAACCAAGAAGAATCACTAGTAGTTGGAAAATATACAGCCTTGGTGATAGAAATAATGCTGGAGACCACATGATAGAATTTTGCAAGACCAATGACTGATTCATTGCAAATACCTTTTTAAAACAACATAAATGGTAACTACACACTTGGACCTTACCAGATGGAATACACAAAAATCAGATTGACTACATCTGTGGAAAAAGGCAATTGAGGAGCTCAACATCATCAGTCAAAGCAAAGCCAGAAGCTGATTGTGGAACATACCATCAATTCCTCATATGCAAGTTCAAGTTGAAGCAGAAGAAAATTAAAATAAGTCTATAGGAGCCAAAATATGATCTTGAGTATATTGCACCTGAATTTAGCAACCATCTGATTAATAGAATTGACACACTGAACACCAGTGACCAAAAACCAGACAAATGGTGGGATGACATCAACAACATCATATATGAAGAAAGCAAAAGGTCACTAAAAAGGTAGGAAAGGAAGAAAAGACCAAAATGGATGTTAGAAGAGACTCTGAAACTTGCTACAGAGAATGGAAGAAATGTTGAAATGAACCACAGAGAAGATTTCAAAGGGCAGCTTGAGAAGACAAAGTAAAATATAATGAAATGTGCCAAGACCTGGAATCAGAAAACCAGAAGGAAGGAACATGTTCAGCATTTTTCAAGCTGAAAGAACTGAAGGAAAAATTGAAGCCTCAAATTGTAATACTGGTGGATTCTATGGGCAAAATATTGAACGATGCAGGAAGCATCAAAAGATGGAAGGAATGTACAGACTCACTGTACCAAAAAGAATTGGTCAAAATTTACTATTTATACCATTTTAGGACATAGCATATGATCAAGAACCAGGGGTACTGAGGAAGAAATCCAAGGAGGGCGGGGAACAGCCCCTAGGTGGCAGGGAGCCATGGCAGACTGGCCCTGCAGGAACAGGTAGGAGGAAGCCCAGGAAGTGAGTGGGGCAGTTGGAACAGCCAAAGGAGATGAACTTGTCTGTCGGTTTGTCCTGCTGTGGTGGCTTGCATGCTGCTGTGAGGCTGGTGGCTGTGCCAGCAGGGATGCCCATGGTGGACCAGTTTCGGTGGAGCTTCCAGACTGAGACAGACTCAGGAGAAGGAAGAGGCCATCCACGTCTCAAAGAATTCGCCAGTGAAACCTTATGAATAGTAGTGAAACACTGTCTGATATATCACTGGAAAATTTTATGAATAGCCCTGAAATACTGTCTGATACAGTGCCAGAAGATGAGCCCCTCAGGTCGGAAGGCACTAAAAATATGACTGGGAAAGAGCTGCCTCATCAGAGTAGAGCCTAGCTTAATGAT